CTGGTTCTCTCGCTCCTTTGGTTCTTTCTCTCGCTCCTCTGGTTCTCTCGCTCCTTTGGTTCTTTCTCTCGCTCCTCTGGTTCTCTCGCTCCTCTGGTTCTTTCTCTCGCTCCTCTGGTTCTTTCTCTCACTCCTTTGGTTCTCTCGCTCCTCTGGTTCTCTCGCTCCTTTGGTTCTTTCTCTCGCTCCTTTGGTTCTTTCTCTCGCTCCTCTGGTTCTCTCGCTCCTCTGGTTCTTTCTCTCGCTCCTCTGGTTCTTTCTCTCGCTCCTTTGGTTCTCTCGCTCCTCTGGTTCTTTCTCTCGCTCCTCTGGTTCTCTCGCTCCTCTGGTTCTGTCGCTCCTCTGGTTCTCTTGCTCCTCTGGTTCTCTCGCTCCTCTGGTTCTCTCGCATCTCTGGTTCTCTCGCTCCTCTGGTTCTCTCGCTCCTCTGGTTCTTTCGCTTCTCTGGTTCTGTCGCTCCTCTGGTTCTCTCGCTCCTCTGGTTCTTTCGCTTCTCTGGTTCTTTCGCTCCTCTCGTTCTCTCGCCCCTCTGGTTCTTTCTCTCGCTCCTCTGGTTCTTTCGCATCTCTGGTTCTTTCGCATCTCTGGTTCTCTCGCTCCTCTGGTTCTGTTGCTCCTCTGGTTCTCTCGCTCCTCTGGTTCTCTCGCTCCTCTGGTTCTTTCGCTCCTCTGGTTCTTTCGCTCCTCTGGTTCTGTCACTCCTCTGGTTCTGTCGCTCCTCTGGTTCTGTCGCTCCTCTGGTTCTCTCGCTCCTCTGGTTCTTTCGCTCCTCTGGTTCTCTCGCTCCTCTGGTTCTTTCGCCTCTCTGGTTCTTTCGCTTCTCTGGTTCTCTCGCTCCTCTGGTTCTTTCGCTCCTCTGGTTCTGTCACTCCTCTGGTTCTTTCGCATCTCTGGTTCTTTCGCTCCTCTGGTTCTTTCGCTCCTCTGGTTCTGTCACTCCTCTGGTTCTTTCGCATCTCTGGTTCTTTCGCTCCTCTGGTTCTTTCGCTCCTCTGGTTCTTTCGCTCCTCTGGTTCTCTCGCTCCTCTGGTTCTCTCGCCCCTCTGGTTCTCTCGCATCTCTGGTTCTCTCGCATCTCTGGTTCTTTCTCTCGCTCCTCTGGTTCTTTCTCTCGCTCCCCTGGTTCTTTCTCTCGCTCCTCTGGTTCTTTCTTTCTCTCCTCTGGTTCTTTATCTCACCCCTCTGGTTCTTTTGCATCTCTGGTTCTTTCGCTTCTCTGGTTCTCTCGCTCCTCTGGTTCTCTCGCCCCTCTGGTTCTTTCGCATCTCTGGTTCTTTCGCTCCTTTGGTTCTCTCGCTCCTCTGGTTCTCTCGCTCCTCTGGTTCTGTCGCTCCTTTGGTTCTCTCGCTCCTCTGGTTCTCTCGCTCCTTTGGTTCTCTCGCTCCTCTGGTTCTGTCGCTCCTCTGGTTCTTTCTCTCGCTCCCCTGGTTCTTTCTCTCGCTCCTCTGGTTCTCTCGCTCCTTTGGTTCTTTCTCTCGCTCCTCTGGTTCTCTCGCTCCTTTGGTTCTTTCTCTCGCTCCTCTGGTTCTCTCGCTCCTCTGGTTCTTTCTCTCGCTCCTCTGGTTCTTTCTCTCGCTCCTTTGGTTCTCTCGCTCCTCTGGTTCTCTCGCTCCTTTGGTTCTTTCTCTCGCTCCTTTGGTTCTTTCTCTCGCTCCTCTGGTTCTTTCTCTCGCTCCTCTGGTTCTTTCTCTCGCTCCTTTGGTTCTCTCGCTCCTCTGGTTCTTTCTCTCGCTCCTCTGGTTCTCTCGCTCCTCTGGTTCTGTCGCTCCTCTGGTTCTCTTGCTCCTCTGGTTCTCTCGCTCCTCTGGTTCTCTCGCATCTCTGGTTCTCTCGCTCCTCTGGTTCTCTCGCTCCTCTGGTTCTTTCGCTTCTCTGGTTCTGTCGCTCCTCTGGTTCTCTCGCTCCTCTGGTTCTTTCGCTTCTCTGGTTCTTTCGCTCCTCTCGTTCTCTCGCCCCTCTGGTTCTTTCTCTCGCTCCTCTGGTTCTTTCGCATCTCTGGTTCTTTCGCATCTCTGGTTCTCTCGCTCCTCTGGTTCTGTTGCTCCTCTGGTTCTCTCGCTCCTCTGGTTCTCTCGCTCCTCTGGTTCTTTCGCTCCTCTGGTTCTGTCACTCCTCTGGTTCTCTCGCTCCTCTGGTTCTGTCGCTCCTCTGGTTCTGTCGCTCCTCTGGTTCTCTCGCTCCTCTGGTTCTTTCGCTCCTCTGGTTCTCTCGCTCCTCTGGTTCTTTCGCCTCTCTGGTTCTTTCGCTTCTCTGGTTCTCTCGCTCCTCTGGTTCTTTCGCTCCTCTGGTTCTTTCGCTCCTCTGGTTCTTTCGCATCTCTGGTTCTTTCGCTCCTCTGGTTCTTTCGCTCCTCTGGTTCTCTCGCTCCTCTGGTTCTCTCGCCCCTCTGGTTCTCTCGCATCTCTGGTTCTCTCGCATCTCTGGTTCTTTCTCTCGCTCCTCTGGTTCTTTCTCTCGCTCCTCTGGTTCTTTCTTTCTCTCCTCTGGTTCTTTATCTCGCCCCTCTGGTTCTTTCTCTCGCTCCTCTGGTTCTTTCTTTCTCTCCTCTGGTTCTTTATCTCACCCCTCTGGTTCTTTTGCATCTCTGGTTCTTTCGCTTCTCTGGTTCTCTCGCTCCTCTGGTTCTCTCGCCCCTCTGGTTCTTTCGCATCTCTGGTTCTTTCGCTTCTTTTGTTCTGTCGCTCCTTTGGTTCTCTCGCTCCTCTGGTTCTGTCGCTCCTTTGGTTCTCTCGCTCCTCTGGTTCTGTCGCTCCTCTGGTTCTCTCGCTCCTCTGGTTCTTTCGCTCCTCTGGTTCTGTCACTCCTCTGGTTCTCTCGCTCCTCTGGTTCTTTCGCTCCTCTGGTTCTCTCGCTCCTCTGGTTCTCTCGCTCCTCTGGTTCTTTCGCTCCTCTGGTTCTCTCGCTCCTCTGGTTCTTTCGCATCTCTGGTTCTTTCGCTTCTCTGGTTCTCTCGCTCCTCTGGTTCTTTCGCTCCTCTGGTTCTGTCACTCCTCTGGTTCTTTCGCATCTCTGGTTCTTTCGCTCCTCTGGTTCTGTCGCTCCTCTGGTTCTCTCGCTCCTCTGGTTCTGTCGCTCCTTTGGTTCTCTCGCTCCTCTGGTTCTGTCGCTCCTCTGGTTCTCTCGCTCCTCTGGTTCTTTCGCTCCTCTGGTTCTGTCACTCCTCTGGTTCTCTCGCTCCTCTGGTTCTTTCGCTCCTCTGGTTCTCTCGCTCCTCTGGTTCTCTCGCTCCTCTGGTTCTTTCGCTCCTCTGGTTCTCTCGCTCCTCTGGTTCTTTCGCATCTCTGGTTCTTTCGCTTCTCTGGTTCTCTCGCTCCTCTGGTTCTTTCGCTCCTCTGGTTCTGTCACTCCTCTGGTTCTGTCACTCCTCTGGTTCTCTCGCCCCTCTGGTTCTTTTGCATCTCTGGTTCTTTCGCTTCTCTGGTTCTCTCGCTCCTCTGGTTCTCTCGCCCCTCTGGTTCTTTCGCATCTCTGGTTCTTTCGCTTCTTTGGTTCTGTCGCTCCTCTCGTTCTTTCGCTCCTCTGGTTCTGTCGCTCCTTTGGTTCTCTCGCTCCTCTGGTTCTGTCGCTCCTTTGGTTCTCTCGCTCCTCTGGTTCTGTCGCTCCTCTGGTTCTCTCGCTCCTCTGGTTCTGTCGCTCCTCTGGTTCTGTCGCTCCTCTGGTTCTGTCGCTCCTCTGGTTCTTTCGCTCCTCTGGTTCTTTCGCTCCTCTGGTTCTTTCGCATCTCTGGTTCTCTCGCTCCTCTGGTTCTCTCGCTCCTCTGGTTCTGTCGCTCCTCTGGTTCTGTCGCTCCTCTGGTTCTCTCGCTCCTCTGGTTCTCTCGCTCCTCTGGTTCTTTCGCATCTCTGGTTCTTTCGCTTCTCTGGTTCTCTCGCTCCTCTGGTTCTTTCGCTCCTCTGGTTCTGTCACTCCTCTGGTTCTTTCGCATCTCTGGTTCTTTCGCTTCTCTGGTTCTGTCGCTCCTCTCGTTCTCTCGCTCCTCTGGTTCTCTCGCTCCTCTGGTTCTGTCGCTCCTCTGGTTCTTTCTCAAGCTGCTCGTCTCTTTATTCTGCTCTCAGTTCTGGAAGTAACAGGAGTTTTTTGTCAATCATGAAGGAATTGGAACAGTAACTTCTCGGACAAGAGCCAGATGTTCCACCAGCTGTCCACCGGCGCGCTCAACAGGTGACGACTCTCTACAGATCACTCATGCTAGAGGAGCCTTTTGGTTCTTGAACATCTGCAATCTTCAACCAGTCCAGTTCTTACAGACCCAGAATCTTTCCTTTAAACTCAAAAAATGTAATGATCTTCAGTCATTTTTGACCCCGAAAAAAGTTTTTTTTTAAAAACTTTATTGGAATGGTACGAAAATTGGTAAAGTTTTTGACACTTGAAATGTGAACACAAAAAAATCATGGACATGATTTGAAAAGGTTAAATGGTCCTGAAAAAATAATCACAC